AGCTGAACCTGCCCAGGCGAATCGATACACTGGACTGCAGCAGCAACAGCAGCAGCAACAGCAGCAGCAACCGCAGCAGCAGCAACAAGATCAGAAGCGTCAACAGCAGCAGCAGCAGCAGCAGCAACAGCAGCAGCAGCAGCAGCAGGCGCTGCTCCGCCGTCTCACCTCATGGGTGCAGCATCGCCGCTCCCGAAGCAGCAGCAGGAGGAGTAGCAGCAGCAGCAGCTGCAGCAGCAACAGCAACAGCAGCAGCAGCAGCAGCAGCAGCAGCAGGCTTGCTAGTTGAGCTGCAGGTCGGCCCCCGTCTCTTTCACTTAACCAGAGAGACGGTATCCAAGTGCCCCTACTTGCTGCAGCAGCTGCAGCAGCAGGAGCAGCAGCTGCAGCACCAGCTGCAGCAGCAGCAGCAGCAGCAGCAGCAACAGCAGCAGCAACAGCAGCAGCAGCAGCAAGAGGAGGAGGGGCTGGGTGCAGGTGTATCTATAACCTCATCACCGACTGGAGGGGGCCCCCCCCCCTCGCCTTGTGCTTGACTGCAACCCTGATGTGTTTATGGTGATATTAAATTATATAAGAACGGGAGAAATAGATAGAGAAGCGTTTGCTGTTGCTGCTGCAGCAGCAGGGGGGCCCCCCAGCAGCGTGTGGGGGGAGAGGCTGCTGCGGCGGGAGTTTCGTTTGCTGCTGCTGCAGTGGCCCGAGAGATGCATGCGCTGCAGCTGCTTGTTTGACCCTATGCTGTATAGACGCAGCAGCAGCAGCAGCAGCAGCAGCAACAGCAGCAGCAGCAGCAACAGCAGCAGCAAAGAGGAGCTGCCTATACACCCCGATGAGGATACAGAACTCGCTGCTGCTGCACCCGCCTGCTACTTCCATCCTGGCTTTCTATGCAGCAGCAGCAGCAGCAGGAGTTGCTGCTGCTGCAGCAGCAACAGCAGCAGCAACAGCAGCAGCTGCTGCTGCAGCTGCAGCAGCAGCACGCAACTCACATACAGCTGCTGCGGCGCGGAGGAGGGCAGCCTCGGCTGTGTGGCGACGCAGCACATCAGCAGCAAAAGCAAAGCATGGCAGCAGCAGCAGCAGCAGCAGCAGCAGCAGCAGCGGCAGCAGCAGCAGAAGCAGCAGCAGCAGCTAGATATATCGGAGCACAGCTGCTGCTGGGCCCCACAGAAGGAACGAGGGGAGGCTAGCGGAGGCGGCTGGGCAGCAGCAGCAGCAGCAGCAACAGCAGCAGCAGCAGCAGCAACAGCAACAGCAACAGCAACAGCAGCAGCAGCTGCTGCTGCTGCTGCAGCAAAACCAGAAACACAGAAGAGTATAAAAGCAAAAGCTGCTGCTTCACAAGAGGAGACAGCAGCAGATGTGGCTGGTGCTGATGCTGCTGCTGGCGGGCTAGCGAAGCAGCAGCAGCAGCAGCAGCAGCAGCAGCAGCGGAGGCGACGGCAGCTGGAGCCGCAGCAGAAGCAAGAGCATTTGGAACAGCAGCAGCAGCAGCTGCAGCAGCAGCAGCAGCAGAAACAGCAACAGAAGCAAGAACAGCAGGAACAGCAGCAGCAGCAGCAGCAGCAACAGCAACAGCACCATCAACAGAAGCAGCAGAAGCAGCAGCATCAACAGAAGCATCAAAAGCATCAGCAGCAACAGCAGCAACAGCGTCAGCAGCAGCAGCAGCAGCAGCAGCAGCAGCAGCAGCAGCAGCAAGAAAAGAAAAAAGAGGAGACTGGTTTGTTGCTCTCCTCTTCTTCTTTTTTCTCGTCTTCTTTTGGGGCTCAGCTAATAGGCTGCCCCGCGGTGGGGGCCCCCCCCCCGGTCTGTGGTGGGGGCCCCCTGTACCCTAGCGCGCTTGCTCTTCCTGCTGCTGCTGCTGCTGCAGGTGCTGCTGCTGCTGCTGCTGGGGGTGATGCAGCAGGGCCTGCTGCTGCTTACGGAGGCAAAGCAGAAGACGAGGAGGAATATCAACAGCAGCAGCAGCAGCAGCAGCAGCAGCAGCAGCAGCAGCAGCAGGAGTGCGTTGCTGCTGCTGCTGCATTGGCGG